AAAGTGAGAAAAAAGAAAACATGAATTTATATATGGTTTGAGAGAAAGAACAAATAATTTTGACGAGATAACACTAATTGGCGGCACCCAACAGCGATGGAGGGAGCAGCATCAATCCAATTAATTGATAGAGGATGAGGAGAGAGATTTTACTTTTTGGTGTCGAGAATTTGTACAAGTGCAGTTGTGAGAAAAAAGAAACACAAACCTCTTTGCCTCAGTCTTCGGATTCGTATCCATCTACGTATGGGCTGGCCTCCTCATCTATTTCGATGTATGGAATGTGAGAAATCTTGTGCCAGTCAGGACCGCTTCCCTTGGTGCATCTTTCCTTTAACTCGTTTGGGCAGCCCCAAATTTTAAGTTCTTGAAGGGAGGACAAGTTGTTAAACCAGTCTGGCAAAGATTCCATTCCACTGAAGTGCTCTATACACAACTGCTTTAGAGCAGTGAGGTGTTGAATTTGTGGAAGGTGAGTTACTTTTTCCCATTCCGTCAGGCTCAAATATTCAAGGGAGGCGGGGATGGAACTCAGACTTGGGAATTCTTCTGAGAAACGGCCGATCTCTAATCCCTTCAACCTAGTAAAGCAGCTGAGACTCTCCTCTAGGAAGCCCACAAATTTCGGGCAATTTGTTATCACCAGGTCCTCAAGAGATGACAGCCCACCTGATAGACACGTTAACCGACGACAATTTTGAATTTCAAGTGTTTCAAGACAAGAAAGGTTTCCCAATAAAGCTTTTTCCACTCCGTTGAAGCTTTTGATAGTTAAGTTCCTGAGAGCAGTGAGGCGATCAATTTGATGTGGCAGAGTTAGCGATTCCCCCCATCCTTCCAAACGCAAGACTTCAAGGGAGGAAGTGGAACTTAAATCTGGGAATTCCTCCAGCTCTTCTGAGAAAAGGCCAAGCCCTAATGTCTTCAAGCTGGCAAGAGAGCCCAAGATCTCGTCTGGGAAGCTCCTCAATTTTCGACATTCCCAAATATCCAACTCAGCAAGAGTCTGCAACTGTTTCAATTCTTCAGGAATAGAAACCAAATTAGAGCATCTCCTTATCTCCAATTTCTCCAGAGCAGTGCAAGATGAGAGCCCACTCGGTAAACACTCTAATTCATGACATTCGGTAATAATTACTGTTTTGAGAGAGACAAGTACTTCTAGACTTGGAATAAACTTCAATTTTGGACAATCCTGAAAATTCAACTCAACAAGAGACTGCAACTGTTTCAATTCTTCAGGAATAGAAACCAAATTAGAGCATCCCCATATCCTCAATTTCTCCAAAGCAGTGCAAGATGAGAGCCCACTCGGTAGACGCTCTAATTCAGCACAATAGGAAATAGTTATTGTTTTGAGAGAGACAAGTCCTTCTAGACTTGGAATAAACTTCAATTTTCGACAAACGCTAAAAGCCAATCCAACAAGAGACTGTAATTGTTTCAATTCTTCAGGAATAGAAACCAAATTAGAGCATTGGCTTATCTCCAATCTCTCCAGAGCAGTGCAAGATGAGAGCCCACTCGGTAGACACTCTAATTCATCACACTTAACATCTAGTGTTTTAAGAGAGACAAGTCCTTCTAGACTTGGAATAAACTTCAATTTTGGACAATCCCAAAAATTCAACTCAACAAGAGACGGCAACTGTTTCAATTCTTCAGGAATAAAAACCAAATTAGAGCATTCCCCTATCTTCAATTTCTCCAGAGCAGTGCAAGATGAGAGCCCACTCGGTAGACGCTCTAATTCTTTACAATAGGAAATAATTACTGTTTTGAGAGAGACAAGTCCTTCTAGACTTGGAATAGATTGCAATTTAGGACAGCTTTCCAGATGCAAATGTTTGAGACACGTGGAGCTTGATAGGCTATCTCCTATGCTATTTATCACCCAGCAAAACACAATCTTGAGTTCCTCCAGAGATGATAATCCACTAACCAAAACTCTCTCTAACTTACCACACATGAATATGGATAATTGTTTGAGAGACGTAAATGCTCCATCACCATCACCCAAACTAGTTACTTCATCACAACTGCTAACATAGAGCTGCTGAAGAGATAGAAGCCCACTGATATCTGGAATTTTGTGAAGCATATAGCAATGGGATATTGTCAGATCCACCAAATTGTTGAGTGACAACATCCATGATGCCAACTTTCTACCTCCATAGCCAGCAATCTTTAATCTTCTTATATTTGAGGGGGGTTGGAGGCCTTCTAAGACATCTTCATCTTTATCTTGATTGCCTTTGCCTTTGCCTTCGGACCAACAAAATTCCAAATGCTTAACTGCCTTGTCTTTTAACTTTGCTCCCTCTGCCTCCAATTTGCCCGCAACAAGCTCAAGCTTACAGATCTTTATTCTTCCTTTGAGTTCTCCTAAGCTTCCCAATTCTTCAATTTTACGTCCTTCTGTTGTACCTACAAAAAATAATGGCAATGTTTGTAGGTTGGTTAGTCTCCCAAGGTTTGCAGGCATACGCTCTTCATCATTGAAATAAATATGCTTCAAGTTGATTAAATCTCCTATTCCTCCTTCAGGCATTTTAAGAGATTTGCAGCGCATGAATCTAAATGTTTGTAGATTGTACAACTCAAAGATGAATTGGGGCAGTTCTTCTATCTGAGTTCCTGAAATGTCCAAGTACCTCAACCTCTTCAAGTTGCCAAAGCACGTTGGCAATTGTTTTGCATCATAAGCATCTCCAAGGCTGAGAACTCGTAACCTCATAAGATCCACTTGCACACCATTAGAAAAACTATGCTTGGAAAACAATGTCTGCAACTTTTTAGCAGTCTGCAACTTTTTAGCAACATCTCCTAAAATAGATGGCTCCATTTCTCTCCCATCCATTAGATTCAAATGCCTAAGATCATGAGAAATATTGCTCCCAGGCCACTCCTCAATAATCAGCGTCTCAGATTTTGAAATTGACTGAGCAAAATCATGAATCCAATCATGGATCTTGCAAGATTCAACACTCCGAGTTACATCATCCCTCCTTTCCTCTTGAAATAAGGAATATGATAACAAATATCTGAAATACTTGTCACCAATATCCTCCACCGTTGCCGTATTGCTAATTTCTTCAGGTGATTCAAGAAATCCTTGAGCCATCCAAAGTTGAATTAGCATCTCCCTTTCCATGACGAAATCCTTAGGAAAAATGGAACAAAATGCAAAACATTGCCTCAAAGCCAGTGTGGGCAAGCGATCATAGCTGAATTTTACAATTTCCAAGATCCCCTCCTCCTTTTCCAGTGAATCCCAAACACAATTCTCTGTAATAGCCTGCCACTCCTTTTTGTCCCTCTTATTCTGCAAAATAGCCCCTATAATACTTGCAACTAGTGGAATGCCTTTGCACCTTTTAGCAATCTGTTGTCCAACTCCCTTTAACCCCTCAGGTACTAAATTGTCTCCAAATGCTCTATCCTGGATTATAGTCCAGCACTCATCTGCCTTTAATATCCGGGGACGATGGATGTGTTCATCAGTAAGTGCCATTATTGATGCAACATTTTCAAGCCGGGTTGTCACAAGCACCCTACTCCCCTTATTTTGACTTATTCCCAACAAGCAATTCCTTAAATCCTCCCATATTGGTCTCTTCTCATTCCAAACATCATCTAGTATGAGAAGATAATTTTTCCCCCCCAACTTCTCTTGTATTTTCTTCATCACTATATCTCTGCTTCCAAAATCCCCATCACCACTACCACTTCCACTCCTAGACTTCAACATCTCCATTAAAATCTTGTTGACATCAAAATTTTCAGACACACAAACCCACATTTTATTATCACCAAAATGTTCCCGTATTTTATCATTATTAAATACTGCTTTTGCTATGGTGGTTTTGCCAAGACCTGGCATACCCACTATAATCATGACAGGGAGGTCATGCTGAATACTTGAGTCAACCAACAACCTGACTATTTTAGAGACATCTTCCTCTCTTCCACGAACTTGAGATGAAAGAAAAGAGTGGGTCTCTCGGCCTGCTCCGCCTCCGGGTTCAGGAACCATGTTTGCAGGTTTGGGTCGCAGTCCCAACGGATCAACCGAGAGATGGATATCAGCAAGTCTTTTATTCAAATCCACAACTCTATTAGCCATTTCCCGGCAAAATAGCAAGGGCCTGGGGTCAAGCAGTTTCAAGTACCCGACCTTTGATTTCTTAGATTTCTTAGCTTCCCGCTGCATACCTTCATAAGCGACCTCCTCCAGTATATCATCAGCCTCATCTGCAATATCTCGGAGTTCCTGGAGCCACGACTTCAGATCAAGGCGGCCACTGACATTCTTTTCATCAGCATCTTGCAAGTAACCTCGGAGCGTCTTCATTGTATCACGAAACTTTGTCAGGTCATTGTTCCATCCCAGTGCTAAATTTAACTGATCAGAAGCAACAGCAGTCACCTTCGACACAGCTGCATCGACGAAAGAGTTGAACTGATCAGAAGCAACAGCAATCACCTTCGACAGAGCTGCATCTACGACAAGGGCAAGGATACTCGCACCCATCTTTGTTTCAATAGTTTGGGGAAGAGATTTGCTTGGAAGTCTATAGCAAAAAGAAGGAGAAGAATATAGTATATGCTGAAGACATATTGATGCAAGAATGTTAAAAGAAAATATGCAGATTGGTTAATTGATTACTCCTAATACTTAATTTAGTGTTTTTATTTTCTGATTAATTACTAATTATCAATAATTGATTGGAGAGACTTGGTGCGTCCAAACGCATGTTTGGCAGCCAGGATTAAAAAAAGTGAAAAAAAAAATTTTGTTTTATATTTTATGGAGAAATTGTTAGGTTAAAATCATGTATGTACGGAAAATTGTCCTTACGAGGGATTCCCGTTCACACCTACGATTTGAAAGCTACTGCCTAAAATTAATCCAACCGAGTCACTTACAAACCTGTAAAACAAAAGAGGCGTTAAACATTTGGTTGGGTTTTCAAGGTAAAAATTTATTTTTAATTCTTATTTTATTAAATTTAAAGATTTTAATTCATTAATTTATATTATGATATTTTTAATTTATTATTTATTAAAATCAAAGAAAGTAATTTTTATTTTATATTAATGGTTAATTTTGTTAACTAAAAATAA